TGGGAGACCAAATTCAAATCAGATTTGAATCTGGTAAACTCCTGATAAGATTAGGAGTAAGCTAACTTAATCTGCAGATAGGATTAAGATCATCCCCTATCCAAATACTGATTTGGATTGGGATAACTCCTAATTAGGAGGTTTCTTAATCAAGAAGAAAAGAGAAAAACAAAAGAGAAAAATATCAGATTTCAAATCAAGGGTGAATAGAAAGAAAGCATCCTACGAATTGAGATTAGATCTCATTCACACTCCAGAGAGAAGAGAAGCAATTCAGCCATCTTCGTCCCAGGAGTTCTCCTCCAGCCGCCGCCATTCCTTCTTGCAAGATTTGATCTTTGCAGAAGAAAGAAATCAAGAAATCAATTCTTGACATCAGTCTTGCAGAAAAAACTGAAAAAGATTTGGTGCTTAGAGTTTCCAGAGGGTTCTTGAGAAGGATCCAGTGTGTAGGACGCACTCTGTTGGTTCCGTTCCACCTACAGTTGTGTCATCTTCAGTAGGAGCGAATCTTGGTGTCCTCTTTGGACATGAACACCAACTTTGGGAGATACTGCTTCTCCGGATCAGGTATAATCCTCCCTTTTCTTTTTGGTTCAGATCTGGTACGATTATGGTTCAAGTAGGATCCTTGAATATTGTATTCTAAATTAAGGGAATATGATTCCCAGTTGGAAGAAGGTAGGAAAATTTTTGAAATTCGCCCACCCATTCCGCAACCTTTATGGCGTCCATTAGATGGATCGTACCATTCTTTCATTAGGATCCCAAATTCTAGAATCTGACCCACCTTCCCCCAAGAAAACTGAATTCAGCAATCCTAACAACTCAAAGACTGCAAGCAATTCAGACTCTCTAAGATTCCTATTAAAACCAAGATTCCAATTCAATACTGCAAAGTGAGAATGATGGTTTAGGAAATCAGAGATAGGCTTACCCTTGAACCTAGACAGATCACAAAGAGAAGGAAATTTCTCCCCTAAAGGAGTATCCCCAATCCACAAATCGTCCCAGAATCTGATTTTACTACCAAAATACAAATCATACCTAATAAAATTAAGGAACATAGCGAGGACATCATGGATGGCCTTCCAGGGATCAGCCAAGTTAGCCCTACATAAACAGCCAGCATCCCATCCATTGCATGACATGCCATGAATGCTTGCAACCACTTTGTGCCATAATTTTTCATTTTCATTTGGAAACCTCCAGAGCCATTTGCCCAGCAAAGCCTGATTCTTTATTCTAACATTACCAATTCCCAAACCCCCTTCCTCTTTCAGTTTACTCACCTTCTCCCATCTAACCAAATGATCCTTCTTTTTTTCCACTAGCTCCCATAGAAAATCCCTCCTGATTTTTTGAACTTTGCTCACTATCCTTTGTGGCATCCTAAACACTGACATATAGTACATTGGGAGATTTGCAAGAGTGGATTTAATTAGGGTTATTCTCCCCCTCAACGAAGCATAATTTCTTTTCCACACCGCCAATTGTTTCTCTATCCTTTCCACCACCGGAGACCAAAAACTAGCAGATCTAAAATTCCTTCCACCTCTTTGCTATCTATTGCTTCTATCTGAGAAATCAACTCCACCTTATTATCCTCCAATCTCCCAAACTTCACACTATCCCATTCCTTTATCTCCTTTTTCAACAATTGAAGCTTCTCAAGGAACTTCTGCCTTCCCGCATTTTAGGTGTTACCAAACTATTCCACCAAACCTTAACTTTCTCTTTAAAATCCGAGTAAGTGAACCAAATATTTTCAAATCTAAAAGGGATTGGGCCATCATCACTAGTTCTCTCAAACAAACAAATGGGCCAACGGTCTGAGGTGACCCTAGGTAGATTTCTTCCGACTAAACCTGGCCAATGCTCTTCCCAGTCAAGTGAGACTAAAAACCTATCAAGCTTGGATAGGATAGTGGAAATTTGAAGGTTTGACCAAGTAAAACAGGATTGCCCAAAAGTAATATCTCTCAACTCAAAAGCTTCAATAAAGGAGTTGAACTTTCTCATACTCAATGTGGTTCTTTGCCTGCCTCCTGTTGTCTCACTCACATACCTAACTACATTAAAATCTCCCCCTAGACACCAAGCACACCTTCCTTGATACATATGACAATATAAACCTTTGAGGTGGTTGTACATGAGCTTCTCCTACTCTCAATGTAAAACAAGGGAGTGGACCTTTGAAGGTGGTTGCAAATGACTGTTGTGGAATAGAGATGGATGAGTGGAAAAAATAGAAAGAATAGTTCAGAAATGAAGTCATTCAAAAGAACCTAGGAGTAGCTCCAATAGGTGATAAAATGAGAGAAAGTAGACTAAGATGGTTTAGTTTGGTCACGTGCATAGAAGACTATTAACAGAACCAGTAAGAAGAGGTGCTTTGTTGCAAGTTGAAGGGGCTAGAAGGGCCAGGGGTAGACCAAAAAGGGCATGGATAGAAGTAGTAAGAAATGATTTAAGCACCAATAATTTAACAATAGATGTGGCATTAAGCAGAATGGAATGGCGAAACAGGACTCATGTAACCGACCCCATATAGTTGGGACAAGGCTTGGATGATTAATGATGATGATCAGTAACATGTTTCATTAATTAGAAGAACAAGTGATAATSTGGGCAGCTACTAGTCTCAGCAAACCACCTATGAAACACATCAATGACAGCTACAAGTGGATATGTAAGTATAGTTATAAGCCAATCCCACCACTGACTAATCCCCACAATGTACAACACAAAACATTTGCTCCCTTTCTATTTGGTATTAGAAAATAAATAAATGTTTTTACTGCACAACACTCGTATGCTAACATAATAATGATTAATGACATAATGTTTACGGCACTCATAAAAAAAAAAAAAAAAAACAGATAATGTTTACGGAAGTCACTCCATGTAATACCTAGAAGTCTAGAACATAGTAACGATCTTCCCAGACCATACGTTGATTTATTTATGATAATAGGTAATATCAATGATGGCATCATGACAACAACTACACCAAACAACAATAATAACAAAGCAACAAGCTTGGTTATTAGGAGTTAAAAGGGCTAAGCAGCTGAATATCAGCAAGTTGCTGGTGGAAGGTGACTCCCAACTGACTGTTAAATGGTTGCAGATGCAAGAGTCCAGCATGTGGAAATTCTCAAATGAAAAAAAGAAAATCAAGCAACTAACTCAGAACATGACTATAAGGTTTGAATGGGCTAAGAGGAGTACCAACTCCATTGCTGACTCCTTGGCTAAACAGGGGGTGGGAAGATCTAATTTGTTTTGGGCTATTCTGTAATATGTTTTTTCGGGTTTGAAAGGGAGGGTTAAGACATTTTACCCCTCCATTCTGGTTGTATCTTACATATCTCTTTTAATAAAAGTGCTGTTATAGATCAAAATAAATAAATAARTAACAAAAAAACAAGCTAATTCACCAGGCACATAATCATACTCCCGAATAAATTCCATTTTGCATGCACAGTTCTGCAGAATCAATCTATAACAAAAAGGTCAACCTAAAGTTCTGAGTAATGTACTTAAACTGTAGCACAGATTGCTTCAATGCTTATTAGGCAAACTAAAGAAAGTGGGAATTTTAAATCTGCAAGTGTTAGTGTTAACAACTTCTCAACACCAAAAATTGAGCCTTTCTCTGATTCAGGGGTTTATCCATGCATAGTGCGCATAATTCCATGAAGGTAGCCTCCTGTCATTATAAGGGAAACAAAAGACACAACTCCTGCTGGAAATATCTTCCCAGATTTCTTGAAACGAGAGCCCATCACCCCTGAAAGCACTGCAGACACACCTGGAAAGATGGAAAACCCAGTTAGAATATGCTATGGGGTTTTGTAAAGAAAGATCCCAAGGACCCTGTCACAAGGCATGTCATGAAGGGTGAAGGATTGCGAGCAAAGAACTGTAGATGAGTCCCACATAAATCTCTGGAGCATAAGATTTACATGCTAATACAATTTTAGCATGCCAGAACAATCAGAATTGAAGACTACAATTAATCACAATGTTTCTAGAACAAGAAACTGCAAATGCATTATTAGGAACCAATAAATGGTGGGTCCAATCCCCTTGAATCAAGATGCTTACCTAATGTTTATGCTACAAGTAGAGTTCTTCTGACAACACATTTAATTGCTTCTCATCCTAGGGACTTTAGGCCTATAAGTCCTGTAGGAAGCCTGTATAAGAAGACAACAGCAAAATTTGTTTCTTTAAGGATTAAGGAAACCCTTCCAAATTTGTTATCACAGAAACAAGAGGCCTTTGTTAATGGGAGATGGATTATAGATCAAGGCATAATTACCAATGAATGTGTCCAAGAATTTGGGAAGAAAGGATAGGTGTGTAAAAGGCAAAAGCCTATGGTATTATGTACTATTCATTTTTGGAGGAAGTCATGGGAAGGTGTGGGTTTGGAGCTAGATGGCTATTACGGATGGGGATGACTCATACATTATTCAGTCCTCATCAATTGTGTAGTGAAGGATTCCTTCCCAGCCGAGAGATGGATTAGGCAAGGAAACCACCTCTCCCCTTGTTTCTGTGATATCAATTTTGGAAGGATAATCAATGACTAATTAGAGGCCTTAAGTACTTAGTTGTATGATAGCTAGGGCAGGTAATCAAGAACCAGTTAGAGGATGGAGGATTTGGATGAAGGAAATAGTAACCCAACTTGGGTTTGTAGAAGTTATAATTCTTTTCTGTGATGATGATAGAGAACAAGCAGCAAAAAAAACAAACTCCAAAGTGTTTTGAAATGATTTCAAACCAAAGAATAATTTGGGATTAAAGTTGCATTGTGGGGGTTAACATCAAAGACAGCAAAAAGTTGTTGAAATACCTTAAATTTCTTTTGGGAGGGAACCGGAAAAAGTTGTTGGAGGATTGGTAACAATTTGATAAGAAGTTGGAGGATTGGTAGGGAGGAGGTGGTGGGGGACTGGCCTTTACAATATTTGGGGCTACCACTGGGAGGGAACCCAATGGTTGAGAGTTTTTGGTACCCTGTGATTGAAAGATTCTCCAAGAGGTTAGCAAATTGAAGAGGAATTACATCTCTTTAGGGGGTAGGATAACCTTAATCAAGTCAACCTTGGCCAACCTGCCAGTTTATTTCCTGTCTACCTTTAGAGTACCAATGAAAGTAGCTAAACAGTTAGAGAAGATAATGAGGGATTTCTTGTGGGAACCAGAGGATACCGAGAAGGATCACTTAGTGAAGTGAGAGGGGGTTTCTAGGAGTAGGGATGATATAGGCCTTGGGCTAGGAAATATAAGATTAAGAAACACGGCTCTACTGGGGAAATGGATTTGGAGACTACCGATGGAATAGGACAGACTTTGGTTCAGAGTGATTGTTAGTATTCATGGATTGGCAGATAACAGCTGGGATGCAGGACTCGACCCTGGGGCTTCTTAGTGTTTTCCTTGGAAAGCTATTCAAGGTATTTTGCCTCTTATGCTCCCTTATTTCAAATATGATGTCTATGCTGGAAATAAAGTCTTTCTTTGGGAAGATGTTTGGGTTGGTGAAAACTCCCTTAGAGATAGATTTTCTTCTATTTACTCCTTGTCTGAAAACAAAAGAAAAGTGATATCCTTAGTGTTTGTTGATAACTCCTGGGGTTTGGGCTTTGAGAAGAGGTCTAAGGGATTCTGAAATGGGGATGGTTGATGATTTGATCACTCAATTAGGGGAAGTCTTTCTTAATCAGTCTTGTAGAGACAACAGAATTTGAAAACCTTCCCCTTCTCATTTTTTCAATTGCTCTTCTTTCTATAACATTTTGCTTCAGACCTCTAACCTTGTAGGGAACTTTCCTTCAAAGGAGGTGTGGGGTAGGCCTGCACCCCCCAAAATTCAGGCCTTTTGCTGGGAAGTGGCACTCCAAAAAATCAACACCTTGGATTTATTGCAGAAAAAGAGGCCAAATATGTGCCTCTCCCCCCATGTTTGTTGTTTCTGTTTGGGTTCTAGTGAGACAATTTCACATTTACTAATCTCATGTCCCTTTGTGTTCTTTATTTGGTCTTGGTTCTCTTCTCTCTTTGGCTGCAGTTGGACTCACTCCTCGAGCTTGGTGAACCTATTTGATCCAGCTTTTTGCAGGCTATATTGTGGTCAGTGTGGGAGGAAAGAAACAATAGGATCTTCAAAGGTAGTTGTAGATCCAAGGAAGAGGTTGTGGAAGGAGTAACTACTAGGGTTATCCATTGGTTGAAATCCTATGATCTTTTTAAGGATTTCTCAGCTGAAGACATTTATAGAAGTTGGGGTATTGTGGCATCTACTACTACTTCCAAAGCTATGATACAGGAAGTTTGGTCCCCATC